GGGGGGGGGGGGGGGGGGGGGGGGGGGGGGGGGGGGGGGGGGGGGGGGGGGGGGGAGCATCCGCACACCCAGCCAAAGGGTTTATCGTCGTTCGCTCTTTTACGCGTATCGTGAGGGTTTCCGATGTGGCATGAGGGAGGCGAGATCACGATTGTTTTTGATAATGACCTACGCGGCGGTTTGCCGTGCCTCTTCTTGCCCCACACACCTGTTCCTGTTCGCGATCCCCCCCTCCCCGCTCACTCCGCCGCCTCTTGCCGCTTGCTCCCGCCTGTCTGTTTACGACTGCTGGTGGTGTGTTGACACGGGCAGATTGTAGAGGCCGTGTTTGAGAACATGGGCCTGAAGAAGCGGATCTTCAAGCAGCTCGACTCGGTGTGTAAGCCATCCGCCATCCTCTGCACCAACACCTCCACGCTAGACATCGACCAGATCGCAAGGGCAACCAACCGGTGAGATGTTTTAGGGTTCCGTGGGTTTGGTTCTGTGCGTCTCTCGAATTCCACCACCACCCGCGAAAGTCCGTTTTTCTGCGACCTTTGGCCCTATGTGCTGGGGAATCCTTCCCGTTGAGCCGTGGTGCGGAAGATGTCACGGTAGACTTGGCTGTCTGCACCACCATGCTATGCTGCACGAAACAGGCATGGTTTGGTTTCGTCGGTCAGCCCACCGTGTCCAGCTGGGGATGGCCCTCATTCGCACTCCGTGACGGTACATCTTGTCGCCGTCTGTCCTTGTGGTGTGAGCCTGTCCCGTGACATCCTTCCACACACCTTTTTCTTTGTTGTTTTTCGTTGCGTGCTTCGCATTGCATTTGCTGTCCTGTCTCATGCACGCATCGCATTTTCTGAAAAAATAAGACCGTCGAGCGTGATGGGGATGCACTTCTTCTCTCCAGCGCACATGATGCCGCTGGTGGAGTGCGTGAGGGGGGCGGACACGTCGCCGCTTACCATCGCCGTCGTCATGGGGGCCACCAAACGCCTCAAGAAGGTTTGGGTGCTGCATGGACTATCGGCGTTGGGATTGTCGCTTTAAGACAGTCTCTTCCCTTTCGCAAATTGTGCCAATCAGCAGCTGCCTGTTCTTCGGAGTATGCCATGATATTTTTCTGGGGCGGTTGTGCTAAAAACGAAATGCTATTTAGTCTTTCAAACGTTTCATCTTTCGAAGAACAAAAATACATACTCCTATACTTTAGTTTTCGACGTGACTCTCGGCCGATATCGTACATCCTGCTGCAGCGGCTGCCGAGGTGTATGGCCTCGGCTTCGTAGCCCTTCAAAGCTACGTAGAAGTTCTACGGCGACGCACGTTAAGCTATTTGCGGGCGGAAGACACTTTTCCAACTAAGCGCTTGTTGATACTGGTGAATGCCGGGCGGACATCTTGTTTGTGTCAATCACAGCCTCTGCATGGATGCATGAACTTTCCGAAAGTTGTCCCACGAAAAATAATTATTTTCCGTCGGATATTTGCGGAAGGAATAGCTGCTGTCCACTCTCGCTCTCTATGTGAGCGCTGAGCGGACCTGGTAAGTCTCGAAAGGACGAGAAAACAGGTAAACGAACACCTGTGACAATGACAAAAGCAAAGGAGCAGGAAGGGAGCCTACTCCCTCCCCGTTCCATTTTGTTTCTTTGCCCCTCGTAACAACGCCCGACAATTCAACCCCCACCTCATCTCCCTCTTTTACGGTCGCATCGTGCGTTGGCGTAGATGCGTAACCGAAAACCTGCTTCCCATCCCCCTACCCGCCCCCCCTTCCCTGACGACTATTTCTTTGTGATCTCAACTAGGTTGGAGTGCTTGTCGGAAACTGTGACGGTTTTGTGGGGAACCGCATGTTGAAGTGGTACACGGCGGAGACGGAGTTCATGCTGGAAGAGGGGGCCTCTCCGGTTGAGGTGGACTGGGCGGTCAAGGCCTTTGGGATGGGGATGGGTCCGCTCGAGATGTCGGATGTGGCAGGAAACGACATCTCCTACCTCATCAAGTGAGAGATGTTTGTGCTTGCCTCGTGGGTGGTCTTGTTTGGGACGTACCGTACCGTACCGTACCGCAAGAGGCGGAGAGAAGATGGTATCCCCCCTAGGCCGAGCTTGAAAGCTGGATTCGATTGCTCCACCACCAAGGGGGTGCTCCACGACCAAGGGGGTACGGAAGGAGCCCGATGCGTCTGTGGAAAGGTGACATGTTTCCAGAACCACCGTTGGTGGTGTTGGCGTTGGCACAAGCTGCTCAGCTTGGTTGTGGAGCAATCGAGCTTTGAAAATCGGTGAAGGGGGGTGCCGCGCCTCTTGCGGTATCGAGGCGGAACGTTCCACGGCTCGTTTCTCACGTCCGTGCCTGGTTCTGGTTGGCGTCGGCACTGGCGTCATAGCATAATGACGCTGTTGGCCCTGGGTCGTGGATTACACTTCACTTCCTCACTCGGCCGTGCGTACGTGCGTACCTATCGTTAGGAAGGAGAGGGGTCTTCTGGACCCGGCGAAGCGGAATCCTCACGAGCGGTACTGCTCTCTGGGGGACAAGCTCGTGGAGGTTGGACGGTACGGACAGAAAACAGGTGCGTCCCTTTTCCCGCTGGGTGTAGAGTCGAGCTCTTTCCTACAGCAGCATCACGTGTTCGTCGATCGGTAAGCGTGGCCAGCCTTGAGCGTTTCGTGGCGTGAAGTGATTTCCAGCACGTTGCTACATTATGATGGGTTTACCACGGGTATTGGCTCCTTTCTGGTAGTGGGTGAAAGCGATCGATTGGCGCGCTAAGATATCGTGAGCCTTTTGGTCCGCTGCTTGGTGCCAACAACCGTTTGTCTCTCCCCTCTGCTCACAGGCAAGGGCTGGTACGACTACGAGAAAGGGAGCCGCAAGCCGCTGCCGTCGCCGGAGGTTGCCGCTCTCATCGAAGCGCATCGAAAGGAGACCGGCAGGTTTGTGCGATGGCCCACTCGCTAGGCTAACAGACCACTCGTGAACATGCCTGCCTACCTGCCTCTCCCCTCTAATACATTGGCCCTCCTGGTCTTGTCTGTTCAAGTCAGCAGAAAATGGTTTTGTTGCGTGCGTTTCCAAGTGAGCGGTGTCGTAGACTAAATTCATTCGATAGATGCAAGTAAAGAGAGACATACACATCGGAGAGCCGTTGCGGTCGAGAACTCGAGTCTATCGTTGAATGGTTTTGCATAAGGTGAAGAAAACAAGTCGGTTGCCCCAGCAAAGGAGGCCAGTTCTTTGACAGGCGACTTTAAAGCACCGTCGAAAGTGCTCTACTTGAAGTGCTGTACTGGTAGCACAGAAGCGTTCCCCGTGGTCTTTTCCCGTCCGCGGCACTCTCAAAACGCCATGCTTCGAGCAGCGACGAACACGTAAAGCAGCAGTGCTTCACTGGCAATGCCGTCATCACTGACATTGATTGAGGGCGGGAAAGCCGACGTACTGCTTCTTCCTGGACGTGAAAATGGCATACGATACCGTATGGAGAAATGGGCTGTGGAAACAACTGTCCAAATACGGGATCAAGGGGAAAATTTGGAGAGTGCTGAAGCAGATGACAGAGTGTACGAAAAGCGCGGTCATGCTAGACGGAGAACTGTCNCTGTTTGCGGATGATTTTGTCGGTATGTCGGACACCCCTGAGGGACTGCAACTGCAAATTGACGCGGCGAAGAAGTTGACTGATAAGTGGAGATTGTCTGCCAACGTTAAAACAAGTGCCGTCATGGTATGGAACGAGAACAAGGAGGAACCAGTAGAACATAGATGGAAGTGGGGGATCGAGGAGATTGCAGTAGTGGACCAGTACACAT